AGATACCGTGACGAAATCAGTCCTTATCGCCCTGCGCCGACGATACACAAAAGCATCTACAGTCGCCGGATGTCACCCCTCGCCTCACGTGGTTGAAAACCATGGAGCCGTAGCGTAAATCGATGCTAGTGGGACGAGGCTCCAGGGGCCATGCTAATCTTCCCGAGGGACATCGGGGTATCATTATAGAACTGACCGGTCCCAGGTAATTCTGATCAACTGATTTTATCCGGATTCGAACTTGAGACCGTAGTTCAATAGTTCACGGTGCAGATCCTCCGCTGCGCGGCCGCCGGTAACTAACTTCGTCCGTTTTGGGATGCGGCGCCAGTGAGAAACCCCGCCCGTATGTTGGACTTCGATTTTGAAACTTCACGCGGACCTGTGCGTGTAAGAGACACTCGACTCTCGACTACGCTACCCTGTACTCTCGACTGGCTACTCGGACCGTCTACTACCCCTCCGTTGGACTCGGACGTGTATCTGTGTGTGTGCGTGAGGGGGCGGGGGGAGGGAGAGAGAGAGGACTCTCTACTGGCTACTTGGGCTCTCGACTCGCTACGCGACAAACACGCACACTCATCACACACAAACCCATACACACGCTCTCATCACATACGCACACGCGTAAATTTGGGCTGTGCATCTTGAAGGTTGAAGACGCTGAGGATTGGGCTGTGCATCATGGAGGTTGAAGACCGGAGTAGTGGTCTGTTCATTGCGTGGAGTCTTAAAGATGATCGGGCCACCATGAATGAAGGTGAGTTAACGCTCCACGTGTATGTGTAAGCGTTTCTTCGATCGATGCCATGTCGTGTGTGTGCGCGCGCGCGCGCGCGAGCGAGCGAGCGAGAGAGAGACAGAGACAGAGACAGAGACACAGAGAGAGAGAGAGAGAGAGAGAGAGAGAGAGAGAGAGAGAGAGAGAGAGAGGAGGAGGAGGAGGAGGAGGAGGAGGAGGAGGAGGAGGAGGAAAGCCTGTGGAGGCGGAAGGCCTGAGGAGGAGGAAGTTGCAAAGGCAGAACGTTCGATCGATGCCACGTCGATCGGCATCGATCGAACAAACGCGCGTGCGTGCCAACGCACGTGAGAGAGAGAGAGGGGGGGCGGATCGGAAGGATGACGAGGAAAAGTATGATTCATTTCCGAAGGGAGCATGCTAATCTTCTCTGTATCAATCTAAGTTTGACGGATGGGAAAAAATAAGGTGTGTGTCAGAGAGAGGGAGAGAGCGAGAGAGAGAGAAAGGGAGGAGGGGAGGGGAGGGGAGAGCATGAAGAAGCAGCATGAAGCGGGAAAGCACGATTCAGTCATGTCATTGCCGCAGGGCAAATGCTAATTTTCTCTGTATCGATCCAACTGTACCTTTGCTTAGACCTGGAAAAATCAATAGTAGGGACAGGACTTGAGGGGCAAGTAGAATTAGATGAGAGAGAGAGAGAGAGAGAGAGCTGTCTCTTATA